ATGTTCGTATTTTATTTTCAGGAGCAATCCCGTCCCCTCCTGCCTGTCCAAAAGGTATGCTGAGGTGTGAGGAATTCTGTTCTGTTAAAAAAAGAAAGAAAAAGAAAAACTCCACAAGGGGGAAAAACTTCCACAAAAAGGTCGTATGCATACCTTTTAAAAACTTTTAAATGCTATCCTCCAGGCACCTCTCTGGCTCTCCCATCTACCTGTTTAAAAGGCCTGCAAAGGACCACCGCTGCAAGGGGCCATTAATAAATGACTAGTTCTTCACTGAAGTCCTCCAATTATGCTGTTTCCACTTCAGACACAATAAACTGTTAGTGCTGATAGTGTCTTGCCCAGGAAACACTTTTTGAAAAAGGTTTAAAATAAAGCAGACAGGGAAGATGTTTCTCCAAACTTGGAGGAACACCCAGGTGTGAGCATATGTATATGCAGGGAGTTAAAAACTCCTAAAATCAACATACAGAATCTGCACATGCAAACACTTGCAAATAAAGATCACCCAGAGGGGAGAACACATCACAGGGAGGGTTTGGGAGTGGAGAGTGAGTGATGGGGGAGCAGGGCGGGAGAAGCAACAAATGCTAGAGTTGGGGCAGAGCAAGAGGGGAGGCAGTAGGAGCCAGTGGGAGAAGGATTCTCCTCTCCCCGGGAGAATCCTTGCTTGTTTGTTATATTCATTTTCGTACTAACACTACCAAGTGTGAGACACATTTATTTTGATTGACAGTCTCCCTGGGGCATGTAACCATAAGAAGCCTAAAAACAGAACCCTAAAAGCAAAACCAAAGTGTAAACAAGACTCATCGAAGTCTCTTCCTTTCATAACAAAGTCTGAGTCCAGAGGCACCTCTCAGACCAACAAAGTTTTATTCAAGCTATAAGCTTTCATGTGCACCCACACCTTTTCAGACAGAATGAAGAATCCTTTCATACTCCAGGACACAGAGACCAGGGAAGCCGAGAAAGGAAAATCAAAATGGTGGGAGCAGAGAAGCTTCTACAGCAAACTGCTTTTTCTATTCCTTGTTCTTTG